ATTTTTGAAAATCTCCTCACATAAGGTAACCTTCCTGTATATACACACATTAGCTCCACTTATGGTTGAACTATGAAAGTTCCCCTAGAAGCTTTTAAGAAGCATCTCTCTCTCCTCTTAATCTAAAATAGAATAGTCAGTATCCTGGGCTCTGTTTCTCACCACAAATCACAAGGCACGGCTGCCCCCACGGGGCTTCATTGAGCATCGCAGTCTCCATTTCCTGCCCTCATGTCCCCATCACGATATGGCAAACCTCCATCTTCAGCCCTCCAAAACACTCCAATGTTCTTCCTGTCTCCGACCAGCTGTTTCCCCTTCCCTCTATCCACCTGTTACACTCTAAGCCCATTCCAACAACTCATTATATTCAACACTAATATTCTGACACCTCCCACTATCCGATGACACCTGAACCCCTTTATGACCTTCTGTATGTTCCATTCCCTAGGGCTCAAGCATCCATTGGGAGATTATTGTATCCTCATCTCCAGATGACCCCTCCCCACCTAGTCATCTGGAGTGCAAACCTGTGTACTCTTGTCAGGCCAGATCCATGATGGTCATACTGTCTAAGCATGGGCTCTGAGGTAGAAAACTAATGTATGCTGGGTAGCCTTCTACTTTCTAGATTAGTTTCTCAAAATATGATCAGAGAGCTGTGGACAACAGAATCATCAGGGGAAACTGGTTAAAAATATCCTGGGTCCCACCCAGAACTACTAAATGACTTTCATGGTGGGACTAGAAGTTTGCATTTCCAACTGACTTCTCTGGTGATTCCTACACTTCAGAATCATTGCCCTAGATGTCTGATCTTTCTAACAACTCTGTGAACTTGACAGTGTTCTTTTACTTCAGTTAAGAAACAAAACAGAAAGATCTTAGGTGAACTGGTGACAGCCACACAGTCAGTGGCAGAGACCAGTATTCTGGCTCTTTCATGACCCCACAGCAATGGAGCTCTTGCTGGTGGTGTCCCTTCTGTCACAAAAGTGGTCCATTGCACCAATAGGTCAGCATCAGGGCAGAGAGGACACGTGCAAAGTAGCTCAGAAGGGGATGTGTAGACTCAACAGGAGCCACATCTGGATTCCACGAGTGTTTGGACTGCGGGAGAGCTTCTCCATATCTCTGGTCTTGCTACACTAGTTCCTGGCCTGCACTACCTGTGCAGAGTGGGCCCGCGGGCTCCCCGCGGTGGGGAGTGTGGGAAGTGTAGTTGCTGGCCGCCCGCCCACTCCGCTCCCGTGATTGGCTCAGGATCGCTGCGTGGAGCATGTGCGCCACATTGTGGCCGCTTCAGGAGAGGCATATCCCAGGGCAGCAGGTGGAAAGATAGGCTTGAGATCCAAATATTCAGTTTTACCTCCCACCGTACTGCCCCGTTTTCTTCTCACCCCTACTCTCTAAACTCCATACTAGACTTTAATTTCTAATCCAACTCAGGACCGCCAGGGACAGGATCCGCAGGCCAGTGCTATGGTCACCCACAGCAAGTGAGGTAATGTAGACCCCCATATTTCACCTAAATCCCAGAAAAGTGCTTCTTATACAATCACTCTTGCCTGGGGTCAGATTATAGACTTACATCTTTCATTCCAGAAATCTCAACAATCTCTGGCAAATGCCTCACAGTGTTCACACCTACTGCCATGCTGACTATCAAACATTCTCTGACTTTTAATTAAAAAACAAAAAACCTCGAATTGGACCCAGTACTCCAAGGTGGCCTGACCATCTCAGAAAACAGGGTAAACACCTCCCTTGATCCTGCTGCTCTGTTTTGGTTAATGCAACACATGACTGTATTAGGGTTTTAGCAGTCACATCACACAGTTGACTCATATTGAGCTTGCAGTCAACTAAACCCCCCAGGTCTTTCCTCCATGAACTGCTGTCAAGCTGGGCCCAGCACCCCCACCCGGTACTTATGTCATTGATTTTGTTTTAACCTAAGTGCAGGACTCTACATTTATCCCTGTTAAATTTAATCTTGTTGGTTCCAGCCCAGTGTTCCAGCCTGTTGAAATCATTTTGAATCCTGACTCTTTCATGCAAAGTATTAACTGCCCCTCCTAGCTCTATCACCTGCAAACTTGATGAGCCTGCTGCCTCGGTCAGTTGTCAATAAAAATGTCAGACAGAACACAGGCCCAGACTGAGCCCTAAGGCATACTGCTGGAGACTTCCCTCTAGTCTAGGCTGACATGGATCCATTAATCAACCCTCACTGGGTCTGGCTCTTCACCAAGCTTCATAGCCATTTGGTTCAGATGTTTCTGCCTTGTCTACAGATAACATGAGAGGCTACGTCAGCTGCTTTGCTGAAAATTTCTCTTGCACCCAGCTGTGGCCCAGGGTCACACCTAGCCTTTCTCTGTCCTCAAACATCCAGCATCTTTTTTTTTTTTTTTAAACAATAGCTTTAGGAGACTATAGGTTTCCAATAGTATCCCCTCCTGCATGACTAGAGGTAATGTTTCTTAGCTTCCCTGGGTATATCTCTGCTGTTTCAAATTCTATCACACAGTGGCTTCTCTGAGATGTTATTCTCTTTAAAATCTTTCTCTTCTTTAGGCTTCTCTGCCTACAGTTGTATAGTGGCCTTCCTTGCCTAAAAAGCTTCAGTAGCCAAGTTAAACTGTAGTTGGCTTCTGCCTCCATCCTTCTCTTTTAATCCCAAAACTTCCAAACTCATTTCCTACTTTGTTTAAACCTTCAGCAATCTGGCTTCCATTCCTCGACTCAATAACCACATTGACCAGGCAATGGATAGTGATGGTGGGGATGGATGCAGAAAATTCACAGCCAAGCCAGAAAGATCAGATGTAGGAGCTTTGAGTTTAGAACCCCTTAGAGACCAAAGTCAGGCAGTCATCAAACTAAGCAAGTGATCAAGCTCACAAGAACTGATCAGGAAGTTCACAGGGCTTAGGTAAAGTGTCTCGTAAGATAAGAGCAACAAACATTAAGTCCAGCCTGGGAACTTTCATTTTTCCTATAGGGTCAGGAATCAGTCCTCAAGGCAGGTCAGTTGGGAAGGCAGCCCAGCTGGAGTGGGGATGCTAAGAGCATAGAGGAGGGCAGGGTCTGCCCTTTTCTTGGGTACTTATCCTAGGTTACACAGCATCAGCTGTTAGGAACCCCTAAGAACCTTGAAGTGAAGAGGTTACATACTCAAACATCTTTGTGGGCCAGACAGGCATAAGGTCCAATAATGAGTGGAGACTCTGACGAACTGGAAGGAACATGAACAGAGGGACAGTTGCTACTCAGCTCCAACCAATTATTGTCATATGGGAAATGTGATTCATTATTGCCAGAGAAGTCAGAAATCTCTTCAGATGAAAGTTTTTGACCTTTAGTACTGTTAATTAATTTTAAAAAATCTTCAGAAACATCTATTGGCCAAACAAAAACATGTTTGTGGCTGATTTGGCCAGTGTGGGGAATCCTTTAGCTACTGCTATTGTCTAGTTCTTGAAAAGGCTAAGTGACTTCAGTGGAATCACCCATGAGGATGACATTTATGTTCTATAGAAACAATTACTCATCAATTACTTTGGGTTTAAAAATATACTCAATTTTGCAAAGTTATAAACCCCAAACCCTAGTTCTTAAGTTTTTAAATTTAGCTTCCAAGTCATATTTTTATTTAATATTTGGTCAAAGGTAAACTCTTATAATCACTTAGATGCTATTTTAAGTTTTCATTTATTTGATCAAAACAAACCTTCCCAAATACTTGAATATTTCTATCCCCAATAAATTGTTTATAAATAAGTAAATCTTAAGTTACTTATTTGCATGTGTGTGTGTTCTGCCACTAAGCCAAATCCCAGACTTCTGAAACATTTTGAGACAGGGTCTAAGTTGCCCAGGCTGGCCTCACACTTGCAATACTCTTGCCTCAGCCTTCCAAGTAGTTGGAATTAATAGGCTTGCACTGACTAGCCCCGCCTTAAATTATTTTAAATGTTCTAAAACTCTATTAATAAACTTGGCAAAATTTTAACTTAAGATTCAAGTATAAATACTAAACAATTTTTTGGCATTATAAGGCAAACCTGTTAGTTCTTTTTCATTTATTTTAAAAATTTATTTCTTTTTGTTATATAGTAGACTGCAAACTGTAATTCTAACAAATTCTCTTCCATGTGAAGGACTCAGAATAGTAATTGCATAAATTCCTTAAAGCAGAGTAATGATGTGGGTCTGACAAGCATACCTATTTTTTGTTCTAAGACCTCCATCATTAAAAGATGCCACCAAGGAAAGAATTGATGCCACACCATCTATTTTTGGGTTACCTTCTCAGATGGCTTAAGCTGCAAAACAACCAGAAACACTGGTTGGGCCACTGACAAGATTCAAGAATATCTGTTTATAACCCCATAAAGCCCTATGACAGGGCTTCCATTATGTATCAAGGTCAGCATCTATCTGTACTTTCTCACAGACACTTAGAACCTCTTGACTGTCACATACCTTGACTAGGTAGTACATTCCCTTGGCTCTGAAAAATAATTAAAATGTCTTATCATTGTGATGATCTCTGCTTTTTTTTTCCCTTTCTACGTGGTCCATTATCCTTACAGGTTTTAAGATGATACCTGGCTGAACACAGCATTTCGCACAGCTTTGAACCGTGGTTACAGTTCCTAAGGTTCTGTTGACAGAACTCTGGTCTCCTCACCCTTACCTTGGTGTCCTGTCCCTGTCTGGCTTTTCCCTCAGGCACTCATAATTCACCTTCTCTCTTAGACTTCACCTCTCAGAATCATCGTCTGCACTCCACTCCCATGTTGACTAGATGACCACTCTATGCCCACTATCGTGGAGTCCACCCGACTCCCCACCTACACACTTCCCTAGGGCCATTGATCTCACCCTAAAAAAGTGGGGAAGCCTGGTATGTTTCATATTAAGACATGGACAACTGAGTCCTCCCTTTTATGCTGGGTAAAGAAATGCTTCCTAAGGAGAAAAGAACGGAAGAAAGGAAAATAACATTTATTGAGCACTTTAATTGGCACTAGGCACTGAGTTAACTGTTTTACTTGAGTTGTCTCATTCATTCCCAACAGCCACATGAGGAGACCTGTTAAGAAATCCAAGCTCAGAGACATTAAGTAATCTGACAGTCTCACTGTTAGGAATAGGCAAAACCAAGATTCAAACCTAGTCCATGTAGCTTCAAAACTCATTCTCTTGCTCACACTACTGCTTTTCCTTCTTAAATCAAAACCTTACTAGTCAAATACCAGCAGCGTGATAGTGTTTTACCAAGACCATGAGAGGCTTTAATCTGGAAACTGGTAGAAGTTTCTTAACCTCTCTGTAAAAGCTCTACCAAATCCCCACTCCCAATAACAATCCAACAACTGACATTTATATAGTGCTTAGTTTACATAGCATTTTCACATATATAGCCCCACAAAGTCTGGGAGGAAGGTAGTATTATTAACTTTAAAGATGAGGGGACTGAGGCATAGCGAGATCAACACACCTGAAGTCACCCAGCCTGTGCAAAGTACATCTATGTTCCACACTGAGGTTCACTGCACCCAAACCTTATGTTCTTTCCACCCAGTAGTTGTGTCCTGCACAGGCACCCTCCCACTCTGTTCCTTTTGTTCTTCTGGGGACAAGATGGCATTCCAGAGCCTAGATCTCCCTTCATTCCTGTTCAAGATCCTACACTAGCAGAACTGTTCCCAGCCCTGTCCTTCATGGACTTCCAGTCCCTTCCATGTCTTTTTATCTTTTCTGTTTTGCTTCCCCCACCCCAAGTCACTCTTCTGTGATTCTACTTTTAACATTGTATCCTGAGGGTTAGAAAGGCCCTGCTTCTTGCAGTTTCTACTTTTGCACTAACAAAACCTGTTCAGTCTTCACGCTAAACCTGTTTCCCAAATGCCTACCCTGATCCAAGGGTTTAAAAACATTCTCACAAACCCTCATAACAATGTTGCAAACTACATGCAACTACCTATCCCTCACAGGAAAGGTGGTGAGACTCAGTGATGTTAACTTAACCTGAAGTAACAGAATTAGGGAGTGTCAAGTGGGGATTCAAAGCCAGGAGTCATCTCCAAACTTAGTTCTTGTTAGTGAATCACAAATCCTTGTGAGAACAATGGCCATGCCAACTATAACCTGGCTGGGGTCTTGCTCAAATAACATGGTCAGAAGTGAAAATTCAAAAATGTGCAAAGGTACCATTCCCAAACCTTTGGTCCTCTGCTTCTAGACTAGCATGGACACCTATGCCAATCCCATCTCCTGCATCTCACACAGTGCATGCTGTATACATCCCAGGGTCTCCTTCCTGCCCTCTACCTGCCACTGCCACCTCACATAAACCTTCAGTACCTCTTTAGGGAACTATTTCCTTACTCTCTCTGATGTCTTTTGTTTTCATTAAATGTGTTTCAGATATTTTTAATATTGTTGAAAAGAAGTTTTATTAGATCATTCCCCAGACAGCAGTGGTGACAGTGTCCTTGCAAGTCATCAGTCAACAAAGGGTAGGGACTGGTACCATGTACAGGCAGGAGTGATGCTCAGGAGCTGATCAGTGTCTCATGGTGTGAGGAGGCAACAGCTTCTCCAGGTGGAAGGGGGGAGTTGCTCAGTTGCCTGCTGCAGCCTGACACTCTGAAGAGCTCAGACCCAACTGCTCCACGCCTAGGGTCCAGGATGCTGTGTACAGCAGTCTGAGTCTGAGTCTGGCTGAGCGGGCTGAAAGGCAACTGACACTTATTTAGGATGGGTTTAGGTACCGAGACTCTTTTGTCTCTAACTCAATGCATGCTTCTCAGGCACATTACTTCCTATGCTTATTTCAAAAGGGAAGGAATCACTGGAAATTTGTTTAAATATCACCAAAACCAAGTCTCACAGTAAGTCACATAATAAATGTAACCACAACCACCACAACCACCACCACCACCACCACCACCACAGCTGTTTATTAAGTGCTTGCCAGGCACTGTGCTAAAGCTTTACAGACATTGTTTCGGTTAATCCAACAACCCTGAGGTAGATATTTTCAGTGGCTCCCTACCCCCACCCCCATATATCATTAGAGTTGAGGAAACTGAGGCTCAGAGAGGTTAAGAAAATCAACTGAGGTCAAATTCAGCTAGTAAGTAGCAAAGCTAGTAATCTGAACACATCTGACTCCAAAACCCATGCTTTTAAACACTATGCTAGATTTTTCCCATTGAAAGGAAAAGGGCACATGCTCCTTCTCAAAATATTAGAGCAGATTTTTGGTGGGGAATGGGGAGTGTTTTTAACTCCCTAAATCAGCTCTTGTACTCAATTCTTGGAGGAATGGAGAATAGTCTGGGGATAAGCTAACCACTTGGCCCCTTTCTCCTGTTTCCCACCCTCTAGGGCTGTTCTTATCTGACACCTCCCCATTCTTGATGCCAGACTACTCAATATGCTATTTTCCTTCCAGCAACCACTAAAATACCAAGGTCAGCCAAACTTGGTGACACTGGGCCAAAGACCTGAGAGAATTTAGGAAACATTCACAAAATGCCCCTCATCCCTGAACTGCTGGACCCTAAGGCACACAGATGCATTTAGATGGAAACACAAATTTCCTTTTTTTCCCAGCTTTCCAAGCCCAGCGCTATTCTGGGAATCTCCTGACCAATCTCTCCCACCCTTTAGGTCCATCCCCTAACCCATCCTGGAGGCCTCACTGATCATAAACTGGTGAGCTTATGGCTGACAATTTCTGAGAGAAATGTCCCCCAAAGTGCTCTGCAGGGATTCTATGACCTACAAGGATTAGGCAGAGCTGGCCAAGGACAAGAAGACAGAACTTCAAGTGTGAGACAAGATAAAGGTAAACCAGGATATACAAAAGGAACATCAAGAGGACAGAGCAGACAGAACAAAAAGGGACTAACCAGGGGTAAATCAACAGAGCTACCTGAGGTCAGAGACAGAAGACGGACCCAAGAGGAACAGGAATGACCCCAGAGAGAGGGATCCTAGAGACGATCTATCCGAACACGAAACCAGTGGAGTTTCTGAGGGAAGGACAATTGGGAAAAACGCTTTGGTGAAGGGGCCACTGGAGAGCCTGGGCAGAAAGAAGCTGAGTAGAAACTAGGGGAAAGCTCTGGAAAAGGAAGCTGGAACATTCCTTTAGAACATGCAATCTGAGAAGACACAAAAGGTAAGTGAGCAGGGACAGAGGACAAACAGCTGGAGGTCTCAAAGAAAGGGACATGCATTGAAAGGCAAGAACTTCTCAAACTCCCTCAGTTATAACCAGGCACACCCCACTATCCACCCCATTTATTTACAACTGGTAACTGAGGGTCATTGACAGCAGCCCTTGTTAAATTCTGCACCAGATGTTGAAGGGTAGAAGAGCCACAGGTAAGGAACTTATGGAGGAGATACAGTCTAACTGTTCGCAACTTCACTTTCTGAGAGACCCACTGCCTTCACTTGAGGGAGCCTCTTATCTAAGGAACTTTCTGAGGAACAAATACCACTTGGTGCCAATTACTAATGTCCTTGAAGTTTGAAGGGACAGAGAAGAGAGGTGAGATGAGGTGACATGAAAGGATCTTGTTAGGATTCTCCATACCCTAAAACTGAGCAGTTAACTTCACCACTAGGTCACAGGTTTAAGCCAGGGACTTCAGTGCTCTCCACACAGCCACAGCTGTGTGTGTGCGTTAGGGGGGATCAATGTTGATGGGAGAAGTCTGGGATGAGGTCCCTACCTGGAGAGTCCAGAGCTTCAAGGAACCTAGAAAGCTATTCTCTCTACCCATCTTCCTCCTCTCTCCACATTGGTGTACAACACATATGGATGAGAACCTTTGCTTCTCTCATGTGGTTTCCTCTCCAACTAAGCAGAAATTCCTGGAGTTTCATAAAGAGCAGGTTTTATTCACACACCCTGACGTGCTGGAATGTGACAAATACTTATCACAGGTGGGGGATCAAGAGTATTGACTACTATAGAAATATCTCCCACAAACAAAAAAACTCATTGTTATTCTTTACCCTAAGGCTTCTATGGGACACCCATCTATCTCTATCTCTGTTGGCTCAAACCCAAAGATGTCTGTTTCTGTATCCATCTCAGGCTGAGAAATAGGCCCCTAGTTTGTTAAGAAATACAATCTCTGCCCACTTGTGGTAACACTGAAAGGGTATTTGGCTCAGAAATCTCTGGGGGACAGAGGGAGTGTCTCCCTACACTGGGCTGGCCTACTGGTAAGGATCCTTCCTCTCTCTGTCTTCTAACAGATTCAGATTAATGATCGCTCATTCCTAATTGTCAAATTTCTTTTCCTTCATCCTGTGTCTAATCACCAGTGACAGAAACCATTACGCAAATGAGAGCAGACGACTTCCCCCAACTGTTCGCGTTGGTAAAAACCTTGTAATTTAGAGCTCTGATTTGTAGGGGAAGCTGGTCTCCCCCAGGCATCCTGGGCATCTGCTCAACTGATGCCCAGAACAGCCCTTCCTCCACCCCCGAACTCCAACCCCCCAACAAATATTTGACTTTGCAAAACAGTATTCCCTCTCTACCTATTGGTGTAAAAATGAGAGCTTGCTGCATGGCTGACCTTTAGAGAGGCCCCAGTCCCCACTTTTCCTTGGCATGTGGCTTCCTGTGCTACTGGCTGGGATGGGGGCAACAATGTAGCAGTAATGTTTCATCTGCTAACAAAACTTGAATCTAAATAGTCCTACTCTAGGTGAGTAAAGGGAAGAGCCCCCATGTCTTTCCCGTGGGTAGGGGAGCAGCAGAATATGAATCAAAACTATGGATCATCTAGAATTAGAGCTTCAATTCTATGATGCAGAAGCACACTGGGAAGGGCTATGGAACCTATTCAAGGACATACCGTAACACAATAGAAAAGAGAGCTCATTCCCCCATAGTTGCTCCTAGCATTCCTAACCTGTAATATGGCTTCCCAAGCAGTTTTCCCATGTCTTTAGCTATAGTCTATATAGGGATTTCACCCCAATCTGGATCTTCACCTCCTTGGACTGCACCTGCAAGCAGCCACTAGAAGGTAAGGCCTAGGGGCAGGGCTGTGGCACAAGGGAATAAAGGAAGGTGGAAGAATCAACAATTTGGTGGAAAGGAAGTAGCAAGGGTTTGCAGCCAAACAGACTAGGTTTCAATCTTGGTTGCCACCAATAACTTAATCTCTTTGAGCCCATTTCTTCATCTGTAAAGTGAGAATACCTACCTTGCAGGATAGTGAGGAACAAAGATCAAAGCACTAGGCACATATTAGGTGTCTAAAAATCAGGGTGGCTATTATAATTTCTCAAGGATCAGGAACAATCCTGCAAAGGTTCTCTCCCTCTTAACCACCTTAGGTCAGACCTGTGTTAGAACAGCACCCTGCGAGGACCAACCAGGTGGCACCTGATGCCCTGCTGCATCTCATCCACCTCTTTGAGGGATGAGCCAGGAATGCAGCAAACCTGTTGAGGAGAATGAAAATAATCTGCTCTTTCCAAGTGCGATTATGGCCAAGTTTATCCTCTGCCTTTCTCTTGCTGCACTCCTCTTTCCCCAGAGAGATGGAGGCATGGAGTTCACTGCAATCACATTTCCCAGCATTGGCTGTATTTGAAAGGGCTATACTTCAGAAGGTACCATGTCTGCACAACCATACTGTATCAGAAAACCCCAGAATGGGGTATTAAAATGAACACCCTCCCCAAAATACACACACAGGTGCGCACATGCACACATATATCTTCTCAGTCCATCAGGGCACTGTAAACTGAGTTTCAGGAGTGAGAGCCACAGCTCAGACACTGGAAGTAAAACCTTTGGCCGAAAAAAATAAAAATAAAAATGGTGGGAGGGAATAAAATCAGAGTCTTCCAATTTCCTCTTCCCTTCCAGAAAGAAAAGGATGTCAAAGATGGAACTGGAAGTAAGTAGACTCTTACTACCACTCTGCCCAATTCCAAGGGCCCCACTCCCACTGAATAGATGTGAATGATGGCTCTTTGACTTGTGTAATACTCTGCTGCCCTGCTGTAAATGCAGCCCTGAGAGGGGTTCCCATGAGTAGTAGAAAATGAAATTCTACTTCCATGCTCTACCAATTATCCTACTGAGGGTATCAGGGAACATTACAGTGGGGTCTGGCAGAGGCGCTGGCTTAAACAGGCAAGGCTACATTTTTTGCCCTTGCCCTGAGGTGAATGACAGGTAGCGAGATAGCTGCCTAAGCTTGACCCCATTTCATCTACTCAGCCAGGAAGCTCAGCAGTAGAGAATATGGCCTGGACAGGGAGGGACATAGGACCCAGAGGCTTTAGCCAGTCAGTCTCAGGTAGGTTGTAGTGAGACCAAACCAACATATGATGGCTAAAATCCGAGTTAAAAAGCTGCAGGCTGTCAGGTAGTACTTCTGGGGGCTCACACTGTATTGTCACACTGGAAAAGGTAAGCTGTAGAGAACCTTAGTAAACAGGGAGGCTGGCCAGTGTGTACACATGCATACCAGTGTGTAAAGAAGTATATGCATGTGTGTGTACACACAGGTGCACACATATACACACAAGCTTGTACCCCTAGAGCCTAGAGAAGCCACAGCTAGAACCCCCGCTGATACCTAGCAGAGGGGCAAGAGCTGGTGCTGAAAGAGAAAAATTGTGTTTATAATTTGGAACGTATACACAATGTTAGTTTCTTATGTTCCAAGGTTCCTTTCTATGTATGGCTTAAGCTTGGTGGTCCCAGCTGGAACCCTATCTAATCCTCTCCCACTGGAAGGCTATTTATATTTAGGCTCTCAAAGGCAAGCCTCCCTTTCAATCTCCCCCTTAGAGTACCAGTAGCCATTCCTACCCAGCCTAGAGCCTGACTGCAAAAACTGGCAGGAGACAGATTGGCCTAAGAGTTGGACTCTGTCCCTACAGCCCAGATGCAGTGCAGGTCCAAGAGCATCTCCTCTCTCAGGCTGAGGCACTGAGGTTACAGGAGATAGGGCTGAGAGCCAGACCCAGAAGAAGAGAACGAGGAACAGAAACATTATGTGTGTGCATGAACACATACACGCACATACATACACCCTGAAGTTGACAGACTAACAAACACAGACGTGATGACAACCAGAAGCTGGGACTCCACACACTGAGTGCAGAACTTTAGGGGGTCAGAGAGGGAGAGTGATGGGGCACAAGAGGCAAGGGTGAGAAGTTCCTCCAAATGGGAGTGGAGTGCCAACCACCCTGCCTTGCCCCAAACACCTGCCTCCAGGGCCATGGCAAGAGTCCAGTCCATTAAGTGCAGCGTGCAATACTAGTGCTTGGAGTCTCCTGTCCTCATCAACGAAGCGGTGTGGACGGGATAGCAGTAACCTGGCAGGAGGCCTGGACCCCTGGCAGGCTAATTGTATCGGCCCTTGATCATTGTGTTCAACAAAGGTCCCACCTGTAAAGAGATAGGAGGAGCCAATCAGAATTGTCCTCTAGTCCTAGAAATTGAATTAGGAGTTTCTAGAGATATTAAGTGTTCAGCCAAAGAAAGGGACAAAGTTTTTATTCAATCCTGTGAACCCTCTAAACAACCTTCCTAAAGGTCAACCCAATATTGTAGACATGACCCATCTTGGAGAGCCATCTTGCATTACCTTCCCTATCAAAACATCCTGTATCTGTAAGCAGCACCAACAGACAAGAGAAGGTCAAAAGAACTAATAATCTCCAAACACCCAAGAGCAATTCTGCGTATTTCTCCAATGTGCCTAAAGGATGCTGAATGTAGCCAGGCCTGTGACACACACCTGTAATCCCAGCAACTCAAGAGGCTGAGGCAGGAGGATTACAAGTTCAAGGCCAGCCTTAGCAACTTGGTGAGATCCTGTCTCAAAATAAAAATAAAAAGAACAGGGGATATATTTCAGGAATAAAGTGACCCAGGATTCAATGCCCAGTACAAAGAAAACAGCTAAATGCTTCTGTATCTTCAACAAAAGGCCATCTAATTGGGTCTGGTGCCATTTCCCTACTCCACAGGCATCTGTGGATGCCAAGGTTACCCTCAGGAAGGAGGTGAGAGCATTACAAATACAAACCTCCCCCATTTACCCAATAGGCCAGTGGTGTACCTGCGTGGGAAGCAGGTTTCAACACTACCTAGAGCAGCCTTGGCCAGCTGGAAGAGCACACGGAGATGCTTTACTGCACGCTTTCCGTTCCAGAAGAATCCCCTCAGGGGTCCCCAGCTGGCACACAATCCCCATGGGGAACATTACTACTAGCATGGAACAGATTATAATTGATCCGCCAGTCAAGCCCAGCCCTTAACAGAGAACAGGATTTTTAAACACACCCATTACCTCTATGGAGAGAGAGGACATCAGATACTGAGCGGAGTTATGGAGAATGTCACACCAACTCTGACTTACCTCTTGTGGGTTCCCCAAAGCCTCTCCAAGCATCTTTTCAATGTTTCTCATTATGGCAACTTTCTGATGAGCTTTGAGAGGATATTCAATTCTCTTAGGGGTAGGTGCCCCCTACAAAGAAAGCAGCAGCTCAGGAAATGCCTTTAGCAGTAGGCACCAGTGTCACCCACTCCACCCACTCCTATACCATTCTCCCTTCCAAGAAACTAATTCAATCCTCTTCATCTCCCCCAAAGACCTGGAGAATCACCTCCAGGAACAGCCAACAACTCCACAGAAGCTCCCAAACCATTTATTACACCTACCTCACCCCAGCCTCAGTTTCATCTGGGGGAAAAAAAGAAACCATATTCACCTTATACCAGAAGTTCACAGTGATGGTAATTCCCCCATTAAGTAATGACTCTATGTGATGCCACCTGCAAGAAAACAAACAAGCTCCTGTTTACTTTTCAAATGAAGGATAGAAAATTAGATACGAGACCAGTTAAAGGAAACAGCAAAGATGCAATCTTTATGCTCATCCTATAAAACACATGGGCTACAGGCAGTAGTGTTCAGTTTCTAAACACCAAAAAGGCAAGAACAGTTTCTTCAGCCAAAAGCCCTGGGATCTCTTTAGATTTGAGGAATGGTCCTCTTTTCCTGGAGATAGGATTGTCATTTCCCCCATGATCAGTATGCTCACATTTGTATATGCCAATGGTCCTCTAGACCATATAAGAGCAATCCTGCCACAACTTAATAGACATAAATAAATAAAGCTTTCTAGGGAATGAGGAAGTTCCCAAGAGGCACCCATCCCTAGCCACCTCCTCACCAGTACATTGGGATGTAAAGAACATCACCAGGGCCAACCACTGTTTCATAACCAACCACGTTTTGGAAATTGGGGAACCTCTCGTAGTCAGGATTGTCAAAGTCCACCTAAGAGGTTCAAAACAAAAGAAAAAAGAGCAGTCAGTCAACAGTTTCTACAAGTAATCACTATGTACTAGTTACTTTGGTACTTAAAAAAAGTAAAAGATGCCTTTAAAAATGTTTTTAGAATTTATATCTAGCAGAAGATACAATGCACATTAAACTCTCTTTCAGAGAACAACATAAGGCAGCCCATCCTTGAATGTTAAATGATAAAAAATTCTAAGCTTCAGTGCTTTTGAGATCCAAAGACCTGTAAGGAATTAGGACTCATCTATCAAAACTTCAGAAACTTTTCCCCAAAGAACAAATTCTAATCAGCAAAGACTTCATGAAGTAGCAAGGCAACTTTCTCCTCAAAAAGGAGAGGATGTCTGTAGCTGGCCACAAAGGCAAACACAAGCCTCACTTAGGTCCAGGAAACATAGTGACATAGCTCAATTCTAGTCATCCTTCTCTGTATCAAAAAGAAATAGCATATGTGACAAAAACAACAATTAAATCCAATGGAGGTATATGCATTTTATTCCATGAACTTGTAAGCCCATCAGAGTAACCTGAGCCCACCAGCGTCACTGATGGGGTCTGCCTCTGAGAACTAGCTCTGTGGGCTGTTTTTACTTATAAACATCTGAGGACCAGCATAGAAGCCTGAATTATGTGAGCTGTACTATGAAATTATCCTCAGGGCTTATCGGTAAGAAATGATCAACCTGTAAACCAAACCTGGCACTGGGAAGGAGAAAGACATTCCCACCATTTAATTTCAAAGGCATTCCTAGAATCTAGAGTTATACACCCTTCTCAAACCACACAAGCTCACCTGGCTCTGTCTGTCACATGGGTGATGAACAGGATATGGATAGAGGCACTCAAACTGATCCGGAGGGAATAAGATGCATCGCTTATGGCCTTTTATCTGGGCAAAGAAGTTCTGTTGCTCATCATAGTGAGCAGGTGTCACATTTCCTGCAGGACGAAGGACATTTTCTTACCTAGAGTACTGGTTCTAGTGTACAGGCTAAACAGAAAGCTCAGTGCTGGAGAGAAACTCGGCCTACCCTCCCAGTTAAGGGTCCCAATCAAATTTTAGACAGAATCAGGGAAATTACAATGCCAATCTTAGCAAATTAGATGTTACATTTTTATAGATAGTAAATCTAGAAAACATCACAGGTAAGGGTCCACCATCAGCTAGCAAAGTAGATATTTCTAAATGATGGTTGCTGCTATACTGTAAGCAAGATCAAAATGTTACAGTCTGGCAGGGTAAGATACTACGTATACTTGTACCTTCTTGATTATGTCAAGAATTCAAGGGAAATAAAACAGAAACGACTGGTCAACAACGCACGCATTATCTACTCTGAGGAGTTAACCTGTCATTTTAAGTTGTATGAATAGGTTTTTGCTTTGGATAGCTCTTTTGGGACCTAGAGATTCCAAACCTTTGCTCCCACTTCACCATACATGTGGGATGCAACACTTCTCAATGCAACACTGGGGTTTACTGGGGCGGCTGACTCTCACTAGAAGGAAGCTTATCAGATCAGTGAAGAGGTTGTTGTATAATTTAAATTAACACATTACTTAAAATGCATAAATTAGTTCTCCCCTAGTGTTCTATGTCCCACCTACTCATGTATAATTGGATCACATCTGTATCCTTTGCACAGTCCTTGAGTAGAACACACACATCTGCACAGAGTTTAGAAAACACTCCCAGCCCAGCCTGGGTATGCCAAACAGCTGCCTTCTTAGCTAATGAGAGTTCACATGCATCCTCAAAGGAAAGGTGCTCTCTCATCTCTACCTGAGGAATTCACTTCCCTGCATCCTACTGTAGGAAAGGAAAGCAACAGAAAGGTCAGAATCAAGGAAACCAGAAATGGTTCATTCCTGGCAGACCAATTAAGAACTGGTTTCACAAGCTGTACTGCTGGAAACTTTTTATGCCCACTGTAGCAAAGGATTCAAATCTGAATAAAGGACAATGAAGGGAGAAGAGACTTCAGAGCTCAGTAGTGACTGATGAGTAATGACTCTGTTTCCTTGTTCAACAAAATTTATTTACCATTTGTTAAGTATGGGCATGACACTGAGCTAGTATGGAAATAAAAATGAGACAATGATCCTGCCCTGTAAATAGTGTTCTTTCTCCTGAATGGAGTCTAAATGTTTCCCTTTTTATTCAAAATTAAACAAAACAAACATACACCAGAAGAATACACTCATGTATTTGCTTGTATGTGTATATAATTTTCTGGCAAGAAACACAAGTGACTAATAACATGCAGTGCCTCCAAGGAGGGAAACTGGGGCAGCTGAGAGACAAAGGTGGAAGACAGACTTATGGCTATGTTCCTATTTATGCAGGTATAAATATCTACCTAAATGGTTGAATTTATATTGGAAAAATAAATTTCCCCAACTTTTGACTGGAATAAAAATCTTCTGAATATAGACAGGTCCAAAAGAGAGTAGCAGCCTTTCAGAGAGGTCCCTAACGTCTCAATGTATGTACTTACACAGATGAGGAAGGGCAAAGGGAATTTTTTGTTTTTGTTTTTAGAATGCATGAATCTAGTTTAAAATTTATTCTCATTTCATTTTTGTAGCTACAAGATAGTATCATATTCCTTTTGGGGGATGAGGAAGCTGAGGCTTAAAAAAGTTTGGTGACTTGTACAGAGTCATGGAGGCTGGGGCTGAGCGACAGAGCACTTGCCTGGCATGTGTGAGGCACTGGGTTCAATTCTCAGCACCATATATAAATAAATACAATAAAGGCCAACTAAAAAAATTAAAAATAATAGTAATAAAAAAAAGAGTGGAGACAGGATTATAAAACAGGTTTGTGTGATTTTAAGCCATGATGCTTTCTGAAAGATTTCTTACCTTCCATGCCAATGAGCAGCAGGTTAGAGGTCAGCTGCCCCCAGCCACGTTTTCCCTGTTGCTTATTAATCCAGTTCCAGTTAAAACCCAAGAAGTCCATGACGATCTTCCTGCCCACAGTGTCATTGAGTGTTTGCTGCAGATACAACCTACATTCCCCAAGAAGAATATTCCATCAGTGCATGCACACACACACACACACACCTGGCACGACCTCCTCATATCTGGAAATACAAACCCAAATCCATACCACACCAGCATCTCCCACAGAAAACAGCTATAATCATGTAATTTTAACCAACATGAGCTGGGTACAGTGGTGCATGCATACAATCTCAGTTACCTAAGAAGCCAAGGCAGGAGGATCACAAGTTCAAAGTCAATCTGAGCAATTTAAGGAGAACTTGTCTCAAAATAAAAAATAAAAAGGGTTGGGGATGTAGCTAGTGGTAGAGTACCCCTTGGTTTTGGTTCGATCCCCAGTACCAGAAAACAAACAAAGTCTCATTACGTTGCCCAGAACAGTCTTGAACTTGTGGGCTTAAGTAATCCTCTTGCTTCAGCCTCCCAAGTATCTGAGACTAGAGGTATATGCTACCATACCCATCTCAGAAGTGAATTCTAATTTAACTTCTCTGAGCTCTGTTCAACATCAACTTTTAAAAAAAATTCTTAATCTTCTGTGTCACAGCATAAATCCTTTAAAAATCCTAGGTTCTCCACAATGATGTAATCACACACAGAATTTTCACACAATTTCAATTGCCTGGAAGTATTTCCACAAAGGCTAGAATGATGAATCTGCTTTGTTCTAGAGACTCACTCTCAAGGCCTGAAACATCTTCTTTGGCCTGTGATAGCTATGTGGTAAACTATCACTGTTCATCAAAAGCTGGTCCCACCCTGTGGAGAAGTTATTCTTCCATACCTGCTCAAAGCCAGGCATGCTTATTTCACTTGCTTTGGCCAGTGACACATTCAGAGAAGGGACTTATGTTGCTTCCAACCAGAATTTTAAAAAACAGTCTACACTACTCCACATGTGTTTCTGTCACAGCAACTACAAAGTTCCAGGTAGTAGCTACTGGGGCTATTTGGGTCCCAGAGTGAATAAGATAATGTAAGAACAAAATGATGTGATCCATGATGAACTTAGTAGGAGTAAGAAACTGTTGTTGCATTTCCTTGAGATCTGGCTTGAAACTAGTTTATCTTAACTGATCCAACAGTTATCTGTAACAGCATTCAACAGTTGAAGTACAGAGGACACCTCACTGGGTGCATGCCCCAGGTTCCTAACATACCTGAGGAAAGTCACAAATTACTTAAGGGATATAAAAATGTATGCACATTTGATCAAGTTCCATAAGAAACATTAATAAGAGAGAAAATTTGGAGAGACAAGCAGCTCTGTCCTGGTCCTAAGAATGGCAAGCCCCTCAAGGGCTCAAAGACCTCTCACTGCCTAATATCATAATAGTTACGGCAATATTAATTAGAAATCTTAGTAAGTTGGAAACACTAGCTACATGGAACCATCAAGACTCAAACACAACCTCAGGGTTCTCCCTAAAGATTATCATGTACATATTTACACAAAAAAATTTACAAGTAACTTTTTTTGGGGAGTCAGGGACACTCCCCAAACATAATCCTAAACAATATTCCTATTATACTTAAACAACCTGAATGGTTAGATAGTGAAGTTAGTTGGTGTTAAAGTCAACTGATAAGGCAAAACCTTATGGTCATTCATCATGAAGTCTCAATGACTGTAACTGCCCAGAGGCAACCTTACAGAATGCGAATGAAGGCCATCTGGGACCTATAGAAGATGCTATCCTTTTAAGCTGGAATAAAGGCAGAAGAGAAGAATCATTCTCCTGGATGTTTCTTGTGTTTGCTATCTATCACTGATAACTGTGGAACAGCAAGTCTCCCTACCACTCTGATTTTCTGTAAACGAAGTTTCCCAATACCCATTTAAACCAGAATCACAACAAACTATACAACTTTTCATCATGAACTGTCCCCAGTCAGCACAATACTTTAGGACAAAGGCTGCAAACTGGCTATCTAAGAGCTAAATCCAATGATAGACATTTTTGTTTGGCCCCTGCAGCTTTTGGTTAAAAAAAAAAAGTGAGACTACTGCCTACATTTAAAAGTCAAAAAATTTTAAGCAAATAAAAAATCCTCATTTTGAACCTCTTCGGAAAAATCAGAATATCTAGTAATCTGCAACTGCCCTCCCAAATGGAAACAAGCAAAGTAATAACTTCTCACTTGAACAGTGTGTGTGTGTGTGTGTATGTATATATACAAATATATACATACACACACACACATATATATACACACACACATATATGATGACTTCAGCTTTATTAGTTTCCATCCAGACAACTTCACTCATTTCATTCAGCTGCCTGACTCTTCTAGACAACTGTGGCTCTCGCTGTTTGAAGAAGATGAGAAACTATTATAAAGATTCACAGCTTAAGTCTAATCATTTTTTCAACCCTCAAGCTAAAAAACCAGCTGGTTGTAGTTCCAAGAACAACTAAACCCCCCACAGGACAGAATAGTCAAATATTCACTTGTCAGATATACAGATATGGAAGATACCAATCTCCACTCCCCCAACTCTACCACATCTTCAAACAAGTTCAGAAAAGAAAAACGGATGCCTCAAATCCAGTGAAAAACCAAGATCTGGGAACTTACCTCTCGTCCCCACCTTGCTGCTGTATATCCTGCAGTTTCTCAACAAATTCATGAAATTTCATTTCCTCCCTGTTGGACCTCGGTTTAAAGTTCTGGAAATTAGCCATCTTCTTCTCATCATAGTACAAGAACTTGTGGGTGCTGGCACTGTACACGGAAAAGTCCCCGTTGCCAATATTCTCTTGTAGGTATTCAAGATCCCATTTCAGAGCAGGATACACAAGATTTGTGTCAGTCAGCACTACAGGTTCCTAAGTGAAAACATTGGATGAAAAGAAAGTAAAGAAATCCCAAGGTGCTAGAGAGCTCTCCTCCCATGATTCCAACTACTTCCCAGCTTCATAACAATCTCTCCCGTTAAGGAGTACGAACTCCTTAAATCCATTTTTCCTCTCCATCTCCCTTTAAGTCCTAATCCACGGACCGGCCAGTCCCCACCTCTCTCACCATTCGCCCCTGACCTCTCCTCCCAACTTGGTCTCTTCCCCCTCCCACTTTAGACGCGGCCCCGCCCCCCACCTCATTTTCGATGAGCTCCTCGGCCCGGGGGTCGCTCTGACTCAGACGCGGGATGGGCCGGGTCGGGAAGCTATAAGTGCGCAACTGCGATTCATCCCAGGCTGGGCCCAGGGCTTCAGCCTCTTCCTGGGGCTCTCCAGAGCCCGAAGCTGCAGCCTCAGCTGCTGTTGCCGCCATCTCTGCCGCTAGGGACGGCCCCGCCGGAAGCGGAAGCCCCGCCTATTCCGGACGAAAACCACAACGGAAACCATAGAGACGAACTGCAAGAGAGAGCTGTCCAAATACATTCAGGAGGCGGCGCGGAGGCCTGGGGGAGCTCCTCCTAAAGGTAACCTATAGATCTGCATCCTAGGCTCCACTCCTGGAAAACTAGGGCTAGGCCTCAGTCCCACGGAATAGGGGTGGTCACCCAGTAAACTAATCCACAAAATATTGTTACCTCTGTGTTCCCAGACCTACATAAGAGACAAAGAAAGAGGAAAGTTTAAGCTTTAATCTTTACACGCATAGATGGGGAGAGAAGCACACTTGACCCACCTAAAGATGTCAGAAGGAAGAGCAAATTGCTATGTTGATAGATGTTAGGCAAAGGCTGCTTGAAGGTTGAGGCAAAGTTGAATTCCTTTAAAATCAAGGGAAGAGCTGGGTGTGGTGGTGTGCTCCTGTAGTCCAGCTACTCCAGAGGTTGATACAGAACCTCTTGAGCCCAGGGCAAGCCTGGGCAACATAGTGAGATCCCATCTTTTTAAAAAAATAAATAAAATAAAACCAAGGTATCATTAGATTTTTCTGTCTATGCCACCATCTCTCCTGCTTGAATAAATTCTTGCCATGGGAACAGTGTTACTATTAGTGGCCAACCATGGGCCTCTCCCATTTCCAAACAATCTATATTGGTTATAAAAGGTCTTATCAATTACTCTTGCTTACTTAGTTCTTATGGCTGACTGTGGAAGGCCAGATTCTAAGAGGGATCCCAAGATTTACACCCCGTGTAATCTCTCCCCTTAAAGGAAAGCAGGACTTGGGAATATGATAGGGTAATACTCTAATAATTAGATAACATTATATGGCAAAGATGTAATTAAAGTCCCTAATCGGTTAATTTCTGAGCTAATCAAATGGGAAATTTAGCCTGGGTAGGCCTGAATTTATCACTCAAGCCCTTTAAATCTGGGCCTAGGGCTGAGGATGTAGCTCGGGGGTACAGCACTTGCCTAGTATGTGCAAGGCCCGGGTTCGATCCCCAACATCACCCCCCCAAAAGAAATCTGTGTCTAGAGGTCAGAGACAGAAGAAGGTCAGAGAGATTTGACACCATGTATATCCTCTCTATTTACTTTAAAGGAGCAAACAGTTATATGGCAGAGAATGCTAGGTGGTCTCTGGGAGCTGATACTCTTTTTTTGGTTGACAGCCAGCAAGTAAATGGAGAACTTAATCCTACAAATGCAAATAACTAAATTCTGCCATTAAATATTGAGCTTAGAGAAGGACACAAAGCCACAAACGACCCAGCCAACATCTTGATTTCAACCTGGTGGGACCCTGAGCTAAGGACCTAGCTAACTAGTACCTGACTTAAAAAAAAAAAAAGGAAAAGAAAAGAAAGAAAGAATAAACTGGTATTGTTTCAGCTACTAACTTTATAGTTTCTTTTAAGCACCTAAAATAAATTTTAACTTTTTACGAAGCAAGAGAAACTAACACACTAGCTTAAAACTATGTAATTATGCTATTTACTAACTATAATATACCCAGCTGGAGTTATCTCCAGTTTGGGACTGGGGATGGAAATCAGGCTTTAGTTTTATCTGCATTTTCACAAGAATATATTAATTTATAACATTGGGAATTAAAAATAAACCACTGCTATGGAAATCAGTATAGAGGCTCCTCAAAAGACTAGGCATGGACCACCATATGAACCAGCTATACTACTTCTTCGTATTTACTCTAAAGAATTAAAGGCATCTTACTACAGTGACACATGCATACACACTGAGAATTGTGCAGCACAATTCACAACAGCCAAACTATGGAACCATCGACATATGAAAGAAATAAGAAAATGTGGTATATATATACACAATGGAGTTTTATTCGAGCATAAAGAAAAAATGAAATGATGGCATTTGCAGGAAAATGGATGGAACTAGAGACCATTATATTAAGTGAAATAAGTCAAAATCAAAAGGCTAAGGTACTATGTTTTCTCTCATATATGGAAGCTGGAGAAGAAAAAGGAAAATAAAGGTGGGGTGAATCTCCTGAACATCTAAAGGAGACCAGTAAAGGAAAGGGACCAAGAGGTGAAAGCCAGGGAGGCAGGAGGAAAATGCTGGGAAGTGATATTGGCCAAGTTATATTGTTATATGCATGTACAAATATGTAACAACAAAACCCATCAATATGTACAATTATAATGCACCAATAAAAATGAGGAAATAAAATAAATAAATGAAACCTAGAAGATTCAAATTACTAATATCAGGAATGAAAGAAGTGATATTACCAACTTTACAAAAATAAAAAGGCATATAGAAGGAAATAGTAGGAACAAGTATGTACCAAAAAATTAAAGAACCTAGATGAAATAGAAAAATTCCCAGAAAATTACAAACTACCACAACTGACTCAAGAAAAAAAAATAGAAAAATCTGAATAGACCTATAATGAGATTGAATTAGAAGTCAAAACATATCCCACAAAGAAAAGCCCAGGCCCAGATTGATCATTGATGAATTGTACCAAACATTTAAAAAAGAATTAATACCAATCCTTCACAAAGTCTTCCAAAAAAAAAAAAAACAGAGGAATTTGGTACATTGATGAATTGTACCAAATATTTAAAAAAGAATTAATATCAGTGCTTCACAAAGTCTTCCAATTCATTCTCTGAGGCCAGCATTACCTGGATATAAAAATGAGACAAAAACTTTCCATGAAAATAATAGACTTTATAAATATATTCTTTATAAACATATGCAAAAATCTTCAACAATATACTAACAACTAAATCTAGCACCATATATAAAGTGCTACATACCATGACCAAGAGAATTTATTTCAGGAGCACAAGGTTGATTCAACATCTGAAAGTCAATCAAATGTAACATATTAATAGGAGAAAACTACCACATGATCATCTCAATATACACAGAAGTAGCTTTTGACAAACTTCAATACCCTTTCATGATACAAATAGGGTTCCAAAGGATACCATTGAGAGAGTAAAAAGAAGCCAAATGACTTCGGAGGCTGGGGCAGGAGGATTGCAAGTTCAAGGCGAACCTCAGCAACTTAGTGAGACCTAAGCAACTTAGTGAGACCTTGTCTCAAAATTTAAAAAAGGGCTGGGGAAGCTTGGCATGGTGGTACACCACCTGTAATCCCAGCGGCTTGGGAGGCTGAGGCAGGAGGATCAAAGCCAGCCTCAGCAAAAGTGAGGCACTAAGCAACTCAATGAGACCGTGTATCTAAATAAAATACAAAATAGGAGTGGGGATGTAGCGTAGTGGTTGGGTGCTCCTAAGTTCAATCCCCAGTACCTCCCCCCAAAAAAAAAGGAAAAAGAGGGGGGCTGGGGATGTGGCTCAGTGATAAAGTGCCCCTGGGTCCAATCCGCAGTACCAAAAGAAAGAAAGAGAACGAAAAAAAGAAAAAAGATAATCCACAGAATGGGAGAAAATATATTTATAAATCACATACATGATGAGGGCTGGGATGTGACTCAGTGGTAAATCACCCCTCTGGGTTCAATTCCCAGTACCCCCAACCACCACTGCAAGAGAGAGAGAGAGAGAGAGAGAGAGAGAGAGAGAGAGAGAGAGAGAGAGAGAATGAGAATCTGGGAGTTTTTCAAAAGATTAAATATAAAGTCACCCTATGACCCAGCAATTTTCCTAGGTATATATTCAGAATTGAAAGCATACGTCCACACATGCATGTGCTGTACAAAAAAATTGTACAAAAATGTCCCTAGCAGCACTGTTCATAATAGCGGAAAAAGGGGGAACAACCCAAATGATGTGTTAACTGATAAGTGTATAAATAAAATGTTGTAGATCCATATAACAGTATATCAGGCATCCATAAAAAGGAATGGAAGTGCTGAAATGTACTATAACATGGACAAACTTTGAAAACATTTTGCTAAGTGAAAGAAGACAGAAACAAAAAAAACACATATCACATGATTACATTTATATAAAATATCCAGTTAGACAAATCCACAGAGACAGAAAGTAGATTGGTGATTGCAAGTGAGTAGAAAAGGGGTAATGTGCTAATAAGAGTTGTGAGGTTTCTTTTTGGGGTGATGAAAATAGTTTGTTTAGAATTAGTAGTGATAGTTGTAGAACTTTGTAAGTATACTAAAAATCACTTTATTGTACACTTAGGGAATTATATGATATGTAAATAATATCTTAATAAAAATAAGTAGATCAACTCTGTTTCTCAATCCAAATAAAATCAGGTCTTGCTAATGGATAAAAACAGATGTTATCCAATTCTGTTGTTGCCTAACTAGTGCTGCTCATTTACAGGAGGGCAAGTTGCTGTACTGTAGTCCTTACCAATAAGTATATACTGAAAAGTACATATCTGTTGTTATTATTGCTTTATATATATTTGAGAGTGACTACAATAATGAATTCTGCTCCAAAACAGTGATCACCTTAAAAGCTGCTGGAAATAGAGGCATATTTATAAGATGTAAATTATTCAAATATCACATGTGTAAATAAGATGAAAACATAGTCATATGCAAACATGTCTCCCAATCTTATTGAGTTAAGAGCTTGTAAATTGTGGTCCAGTTTGAAATCTATTTATTCAGGTCCTAACAAATTGGAGGCTTTGCACCATCTCCAGAGAGCTGACTCTGGTGACTGGTTTAGTTTTACATTTGTTGCACTGGAGGGTGACTGGGACATTCAGGTGTAAACACTGATTGAAACTGAGGATCCAATAAAACGCTGATTTGTTAATTGAATAAAGCATCTAAAGGAAGTCGATCGACCAATTAGAACAAAACAAGAGCAAACAAAACTAAGAGCTGAATTTGAAGAATGGTCACTTTGGGTATGAAAAGAAAAAGTACCAGTGAAGGAGAGGAAAAAGGCAAGCAGCCTGAGAAGAGAAAGGTTCATTTTACGAAGTGACCTGCCTTTTTCTTCCTCCCGTTACCCTTGCTGACCTCTATACAACCTCTCACCTTCCTACAGGACTCCCAGTTCCAAGTTTAAGCTCCGCCCCATTCATCCTAGAAGATTTGCCTTCACGCCAGGATTCCCGAGTCGCCTTTGGCCGGACTCTGCCGCCGTGACTGGCCTTTGCGCATGCGCGGGGAGAAGTGCGGAAGGTGAAGATGGCGGCGGCCGGAGCTGGGGCCCTGGGAGTTCGATGGCTGAGAAGGGTTGTCGGGAACGTGGTGCCGCTAGGGGCACGGACAGGTCCGCGAGAACTGGCGAGGCCTCAGTGTGGGAAGGGGATGCCTGAAGTTTGGTGTGAGGGAAGGGAGGTAGTGGATATCTCGCGGCTTCTGTGCCCTAGCAGGGGTTGGAGGTGATGGAGGGTCGCGCTGATCCCGTGAAGTCCCAGCCAGGCTTCGGCCTCTGCAGCTTTGAGCCTTTCGGGCTGCTGGCGAATGGGGTTGGTCTGACCTGTGCTCTTCTGTGCTTCAGCCTCCCACATTACCAAGGACATGCTTCCGGGGCCCTATCCTAAGACCCCAGAAGAACGGGCAGCCGCCGCCAAGAAGTACAATATGCGTGTGGAAGACTACGAGCCTTACCCGGATGATGGCATGGGGTGAGGTAGAGAGGGTCATCTCGTACCTGGGTAGTAATGGGAGAAGACATGATGGGTGGTTCTACTCTGACCCTTTCTCCCGAACCCTCTTGTGTCATTGGTGTGGGTGCTTTTCTTCGTGGTGAGAGTGGGTGGGTGAGCAGCTGCAGCCTAGAGGACCTCAATTTTCTCCTTGGCTCGGGCTGTTTCCTCAAATGAGGAAGCTGAGATTTTAATGGCTCCCTGGAGGACTCCCGAATAGCAGGAACCTTCCTTGGCTCCTTCCACAGCCCTGGGTTTCATTTAGATTGAGCATCTGCTGGGCTCAGGTGCTGTCATCCAGGCACGTGACCAGGCTGGAGCTGGACTCCTGTCATGAGAACCTTATTTGTAGATGGAGTACTCTATATTTGTGTGTACATCTCTCTTTAGGGCTGTGGAAATGGCCAACCTCCTTTCTCCAGTTGATGTTACCTCTCCATACCCCTATTTCCACATACCATCCTTGTGGTTAATTACCTTTAGTGATTACCCTCATCTTCACTTTCTTCCTAGCATCATTCTTTCAATCTTGATTTCAGCATCTCCTATCCTTATTTTTCAGTTATTATCTGTGACACACGTCTAGTTTTCATCATTTCCCATGTTTTAATGGTATTTTAGACAGGAACAGCCTTGGTAGCAATCTTTATAAGGTGAACCTGCGTTTGTTGGGGGGGTGACCCAGCTAAGCAAGATGTCCCATGAGGTGTTTGAGGCATGGAGAGGTATACTAACTTGTGGTTGAGAAACAGGGCCTATGAAAAGAATGCTTTTCCAATCTTTTTAATTTTTTTCCAGTTGGCTGGGTGACTCTGGGTTCGGACCATAAAATTTAGTTTCATTTTTTTAATCTGATAAGGGAATCAGATAATCAATAAAATTGGTAGCTAAGTTCCCTTTTAGCTGTAACATTATAGAATTGTGTGACCTTTCTTTTTGAAAGAATTTAAGGAAACTTTATATGTTACAATGTTTAGTTTGATGTGACCATCTAATTACAGTCTGTAGTCTTATTTGATTGGTTCTGTGCTTGTGACTAGAACTTGAAATCTTGATTTGGGAGGCAGTTCATCTTTCCTTAGGTGAAGAAGTTCTATCGGTCACTTGGTTTTTCATCTCAAAGATGGGAGACTGAATTGTCTGAGAGTGCTCATAGCCCCTTCCATAATTTCTTGCTGTCTTTTAGGTATGGTGACTACCCGAAGCTCCCTGATCGCTCACAGCATGAGAGGGATCCATGGTATGAATGGGACCACACAGACCTAAGGTTGAACTGGGGTGAACCGGTGAGAAAATTATAGCCCATTTAACTTTTTTCTCCTCCCTGTATCTTCTTGGGGATTCTCCCTTTAGCTCAAGTGGCACTTCTCTGTCCAGTTAATACTAAGCTTTTCTGCTCAAAGAAATAAGGTCCAGTGATCTGAGACCTGAGGTTCCACATGTGTCAGGCACATGGAGCAGGACTTCTGGAAACAATTAAAGCTCTGTACTGTGAAAGTTGTGCATGATTGAGCTGTCTCTGGTGAACAGAACCTAGACTGGGGCCAGCATCTACTCTTGTGGGCCTTTGTGTCTCAGAATATTGTCCCATGGCAGTAGAATGCTTCTGTCAAGCTTTGTATGAGGCTGTGTTCACTCTGGACTGCCTGCCTTTGCAGGAAGAGTAGTTTATGATGGTTATTGCCTTTCTGCCTTAGATACACTGGGACCTAGACATGTATATCAGGAACCGTGTGGATACATCCCCCACACCTGTTTCTTGGAATACCATGTGTAAGCACCTTTTCGGCTTCGTGGCCTTCATGATTTTCATGTTCTGGGTGGGGGAGAAATATCCCACCTACCAGCCTGTGGTGAGTATTCTCCCGCCCCTCCCCGTGGTATTTGAGAAGTGCTTCCCTTGGCATACCTGCTTAGCCCCCTTTCCTGAGGGAGTGAAGTCTGGAGTAGGGAACCAGCCATTACCAAGCTTAGCTTCCTGGAGTCTTAAGAGACAGGAAGATAGGTCCTTACCCATTGGTCTGGCACCAGAGCATTGCTCTACCCAAACTTCTCAGTCCAGTCCAAGTTAGAAGACTCATGTTAGGAGTAGGGAAGAATGAAAATGTTGAAGTCAGCTAGTTTTCAGAGTTGCTACTTGAGGATTAAACCAATTATATTTTAGTGAGTGATCTTTTAAGGTAGAGTCAAGGAATCTAGAACTGAAATCTTATGCTTTGTTAGAGATGTGAAAGGTACTTCCTTTACAGTATTGGAAGCAAATAAGGGTCCACTGCAAGCATATACAGTTATATTTTGGTCAGTGTAAAGGACAAAGAAGATCAACTTTCTAGTTTTAAGGAAGTTTAAGAAAATTTAGTTAAATGACTTGAACAACTTTGAAGAGATGTGGGAGTTTGGCATTGTGTACATATTTATGTGTATAGTGAATGTGTGCAAAGTGGAATGACCTGCTGTGAGAATGTATGGTTAACTTTATTTTTTATCCTAATCAGTTTTACATGACAGCAGAATGCTTTTTGATTCATTATACACAAATGGGGCACAAGTTTTCACTTCTCTGGTTGTACACAAAGTAGAGTCACATATGGTTAACTTTAAATGCCAAAGGCGGGGTAAGGATGGGGGGACTTGGGTGGTGGGAGAAGTTGGAGAAAACATTTGGGGCAAGAGAAGACAAAGAGGGAGAAGGAGTGTGAGAGAGCCGAAGTAGAATAGGTATAGGCATATAAAATAGTTCCTAGATAATTAGCTGCATTGATTTCCTAGAGAGCTGCTAAAAATTCAGATTTCTGGGTCCCACTTCTTAGAGATCTTAATTCAGTAGCTCCACAGTAGGGTTCTAGGATCAATATTTTCAACAATCTCCAGGTAATTCTGATGAAAATCTAGACTTGGAAATCTCTGGGATTTTCGTGAGGTGAGATGATTGGTTAGGTTGGCAGTTTTTATTGTGTGGCTAAAGGATCTGGACTTCATGAAGTAGGGATGTATTAATCCATTAAATATTTGGGCAGCCCCTACTATGTATGACCATGCTGGGGATTGGGGTTGCAGTAATGACTTGGTCTGCCTTGAGTAGCAGGGAGCCATTTTTGGTTTTTGAATAGAAAAGTGCATGATGAAGGCTGGATTCTTAGGAAGATTAATCTGGGAATAGTCTCTAGCATGGATTGGAAGGAGAGGGACTGAAGGCAGGAGGCTGTTTTGTTTGCAGTTGGCTGCCCAGTGCTACCTCTGCAGAAATAATGTCCTGAAGGTAGCTGCTGTATCTGTGCGCACTGACACGAGCCTTTCTGCCAAGCCCCAGGGGCTCCTTGCTAGAGAGTGCACATAGGGCTGGGGTGAGCACTAACTTCACTTCAGGAGAGCAAGAAACAGTGTGGCTCTTCCATTTTTCAGTTCTGTAAGCACATCACCCTTTTCTCCTCCCCTTGAGCTGTGTTCTCTGACAGCTGTTTGTTGGTAAAGCCAGCAGCCCCTAAAGCACGTCCCAGCCATGTCTCCTCTGTGCTTCCCCCCACTGCTGATTCTGCACGCCTCATTTGCTAGGCCACTTTAGTGGTGGAACCATTAGAGGCTGAGTGACTTAAAGGAGATTGAGTCTGTCTCGACCCCGAGAGAGAGTGGGATGGATGGATGCATTGTCTCATTTAGAAAGCTTTGACTCTGACTCTTTCTCGCTCCCTCCCTTCCCCATCCTGCTCCCTTTCTTCCCCTCTCTCTCTCTCACAGTGTAGGCATCACTTCTCTTAAAATTTAGGCTTTCTCTCTGCCTTGGGCTGAGCAGGGAAGAGGAGTGCTGCTCTCCTACCATTCCCAGTCCAGCTGGATCTGAACAGAGGCTAATGTATATCCATTTACCATGCATATTTGTTAACTCGGAGTAGGGATAGCCAGGTATGTATGTATATTATTGCTTACCTGTGTTTTTTCCTTAGGGGCCGAAGCAGTATCCTTATAATAATCTGTACCTGGAACGAGGAGGTGATCCCACCAAAGAACCTGAGCCAGTGGTTCACTATGAGATCTGAGCAGGCACCATGGGCTTTTGTGCTCTCTAACCAGAACTCCCTCATTTCTAGAGATTTAACCTTAATGAAATCCCTAATAAAACTCAGTGCTGTGGTATCTGTGCCTCATTTCCCCTGGAATAGTCACTGCAGTGAAGAACTTCATCCTTTTCTTTTTTTATTTTTTTCCCTGCTTACTCTCTGCTTTTCCTGCTCTGGAATTGGAAGGCTGGGAGTATAGAATGGGGCAGCTAAACATAAGAACTAAACAGCTAAACACTGGAACTGTGCAGGTGGGCAAGAATTTTAATTGCTCCTTTTCCATTTATAGGGCCAAAGATGAAGGAGTGTGTGTTCCTGACTTTGCAAGTTGTAACAAGATTTATTTTTCATGAAAAATCTTAATAATAGTGGTTAGTTTAAAAAAAAAAAAGTTGTTCTCTAACATGTTTCAAGTACATTATAGAGTAGATACATATTTGTGATCATCTCTGATCTTAATTTGTTAAAAGAATATGCATTCTTTGTTTCAAAGCAACTTCTAAAACAGTTGCTTAAGAAGTTGACCTTACTTAAATTTATGAATTAGAGGACAATTGAGTGAATTACTATCAAACCTTTTTATAGTTTTCATTACCCTAATGATTAATACAGATTCCTGTAATAATCTTAGAAAGAGGAAAAGTGTGTTTTTAAGAGTCTTAACACATTTGTTTTTAAGTGAACCACCCCATCTTCTGTGTGTCTCTTTGGGTCCGTTTTAAAAATTACAATCATACTGCCTGAAAACTGACCCATAAAAAAGCATGTGTTTAGCAGGGCACACTCGGGAGACTGAAGCAGGAAGATCGCAATTTCAAAGACAGCTTCAGCAATTTAGTGAGGCCCTAAACACTTGGTGAGATCCTGTTTCAAAAAATAAAAAGGGCTGAGGATGTAACTCAGTGGTTAAGCACCCCTGGGTTCAATCCCCAGTACCAAAAAAAGAAACAAAAACATAAGTTCAAAGTAACCCATAGAAGTAAGCCTATTCAAGTTAATTCAGGGTCTTTTAGTCCAGGCAGTAAAAGAGACCTTTGTAAGATTAAAGTGGATGGTTCTACTGAAATGCCACTCTTTGAAGGACCCCACTGACTTTTTTGTTTTCATTCTCTGTTCTCTATAGCATTTAGTAATAATTTATTTAGCAAATATCTGTGTGTCAAATATGTATCAGAACACTGATAGGCCTTGGGGACATAAAATGGAACAATTGCCTTCCAGTAGTTACCTACATGAGAAGTGTGGGAGACCAACCTCACACATGACTGAGTTAACTCCCCTGCTGGGCGATGTGGCTTCAGGCACCCATGCTGCTAAACTGTCCCACTCTTTTCTAGGGTTCTAGTGACTGTCTTCTTTGTGTCTGGGCGTGTCTTCCTACAGCCCAATGGGTGGAGCTATGCTCACCTGTTCCTTTGTTATATTACCCCTTATCCTGTTTAGGATAGAATGTTCCATGGAAGTGCCTTGTGTATGTCCCCTTCTCTTACTGTGCCCTTGGGTGTGGCCTACCTAGATGTCAACCTGCTGACAGTGGACATCATGAAGATAGACTCAGCCCCTTGAAACCTGACCCTTTGCCTCTTTTGAATAGCTTCTCCTCAATAAAAGGGGTCAGTGCGTGTTCTCTCTCTCTCTCTCTCTCTCTCTCTCTCTCTCTCTCTCTCTCCCTGCGGACCCTTAAGGTCAGTGGAGCCATCACAGCGACCCCAAAGAAAAAGGTATTTGTGCAGCCCAGTTAGCCCAGTTTACCTGGAGTGATCCCTGAGCCTTTTAGTCCTGAGAACAGAAACCCGGCAGAGAAGACTGACAGTTATAATACGAAGTGAAAAGAATTAGAGATGTAAGTTGAGAAAGGTGCACTTTTTTGTTTAATCATTGTCTTTTGAAAATGACCTTATGTTTGGTTCAAATTTCTTTTGAAGAACTGCCATTAGTGACACTTCCCCCTTATTCCCAAATTCTGGGTATTGCCTGAGGTTTGGTTTTAAGCCTGGTTTACTTTTTCCCTAGGTCTCATCCACTGTTGTGCTTAAAAAAATTCAAGAAATACTTGCTGAGTGCTTAGGTAGAAAGAATGGTCTAAACACAGATAATGCCACAAATTGTCTCTTGTCTGATCCCCAAACTCCCAAGTCCACATGAAAAGGAACTCCAGAGTTGTGTTGCAGAGTTGGATCTCATCATCAGATAACCATTACCCAACTTGGTAGATAATTAAGCAGGAATACAATAGGCTTCATGCATTAAATAGTACTTTTGAAATCAAATTAGTTCCAAGAACTTCCAACTACCTACAGAATATTTTCTTAAAAATTGAAAATGCCACAATTCCCACAACAAAATAAAATACAAAACAATCTCTTTACATACCCTCTTGGAATTCTCTGCTAATGGCACCACTATTTATTTCTAGTCTCCCCTGCTCTAGAGCCATAATAGCTTGAACTCCTTACCTTAATCAGTCACAAGAGCCTTGAAGCTCTTCACAATCACTGCTCTCTTCAGGTTTTCAATACCTGGTTCCTGGATTGTTCTATTGGTCTCCTAATTTGAGTTCCTTCCTTCATCTCTTCTCTAAGGGGTTCCATATTTCTAGATGCTGCATCCAAATTCATAATTTTCACTAACTCCTTGTTATCAGCAGAACTGTATTTGTAAATCACAGTTTGTATCTGGACCTTCTCCTGCCCCAGTCTCTGTTTCATTCACATATGGGAAATGCCCAGGCACCTATGAGCTGGCTTGGCCCCTTCATCCTTGTTGAAATATCACCTACAGGTTGGAGAGGTAACAGCCCCAGTCTGCTGTAGTCTTGCCCTCCACATACCTGTAGCCTTTAATTCAATCAGCAGTTTGTGGGTGCCAGTTATTACTGGACTGCACTGCATCATTGGCTGTCATTTACTTCGAGGCTGGATAGCTTTTTACCTTTTCAATTAAGTGGATGCACTGATAGCCCCTGGAGCTAGGGACTAGGGACGGGTTTTCTCCCGCTTTGATGACTAGATAATGAATCAAATTAGTATTTTCACACTCCAGAGTATTTTCACACTGTCCTGGGAGACTGGTTCCACTTGAATGGAATTTACTGGTCTGGGATTTGAACCAGTGCACCACACCTGTGATCACAGGCAGATGAGGGAGGCTAGATTAAAGCTACGGTCCTATTTGGTACATTCTCTGCCACCTCACGCTCAGCGGAGCGTCTGGGTAGCGGTTCCATACCGGACCAAGCTACTTTTGACCCTCTGCAGCCGCCGTCCACAGAGCCAGCTGAGCCCCAAAGGCCTTAGCGAGCACAGGCTCTGGCGACGGCTGACCCCTGACCTGGGCTCTCCGCGCAGGTGGGTTTTCCCCGCGGAAACCCAGAGACCTTGCCAGGGGCGCTATTAGTTCTCTGGAGAGCTTCTCGGGGAGCTCGCTAGCTGCTGAGACTTCAGCATGCACCAGCCCCGCCGGCTGGTCGAGTTCGCCCTTGGGACTCCGGTCAGGTCTCCTCTCAGAGACCCTTTTAAAGCGATCATCAGATTGCACCCGGGCCCACTCTTCCAGCTGCGCCGGGGTTGCCCAGCCGAGTCTCTGAAGCGCTTCCACGGCACCTTTCCATCCAACTTGGGCCCAGACCTGGGGTGGTCAGGGACCCGCACTGTTCTCTGCGTCCTGGCGGGAAGGCCTGTCCCGACTGACCCTGGTGCGCCGTGTGTGGCCGACGGCAGGAGAATAGCTGTGCTGACTCTCCTCCTTATGGACTGGACTGACAAGGGTAGCTGGCGCCCTCCTTCGCTGCAGATTGACTGGTCATAGCGCTCCGCCCCATCTCACCCACGCCTCTTTTTGCGAACAGGTGCCTCTGAACCAAGCGGATTAAAAGCCTGTTTTCCCAGTTTCTAGACTGCCAGCGATTTAAACCCTTTATGGAGTTTAGATTACTAAAGGGCTAAAAGTACGGGCTCTTGAGGCTGACTGGCGATCTTGGCCTAGCCAGTTGTCTCTGTAAAATGGAAATAACGATAGTATTTTGTTGAGAGCCACAGCCAAAGGGGCCCCAGCAAACTTCCAGCTGCCAGCAATCCAGCTGCCGGCT